GTTTTCTGACAGTGAGAACAACCAACCAATGGAACAGCTTGCCTTCAGAAGTTGTGGGAGCTTCATCACCACAAGCTTTCAAGAAGAGACTGGACTGCCATTTGTCAGAAATGGTGTAGGGTCTCCTGCTTGGGATGACCTACAAGGTCCCTTCCAACTCTATTAATCTGTTAATTCAAATGAGCACAAGATAGTGCTGGCTCCGAATGCTTCGTCTGCTGAGTGAATAGCTGCTATGTCCAAATAGGCCAAAACATGTAGCATCAAAATGCTTGGAACAGCATGTTTGTGCAGCTGGGAACTGTTGCAACTGAGAGTAGAGGTAACAGCGAGGATCTTTCAGAGACCCAGATCTGAAGCCTCCTGGCCAGAATAAAAATAAAGACATCTGCAAACAAGGCAGCAAAAGGGAAGCGAGAAAAACATCATTTGAATGTTTTAAATAAAACAATTAGCACTTGTCTGAGGCTCCTCTGAGGTTAAAGGAATGTCCCCTGGGCAAAAGATTAATATTACATACAATATTTCTATTTTTAAAATATTTATTTAATGTTTATATCTCTTCCTATATATTTTTCTATATTTTTGCTTGTATATATTGTATTACACAATTATACAAATTAAATGTACTACTTCTATTATCTATCTATCTATCTATCTATCTATCTTTTTGTAATGTTTGTTTTAATATTTTTTAAAATTATCAATAGTTTGTATCCCACCCTCCTTATGCTCTTTATAAAGATTTTATTTCATTTGAGTCCAGTGGGCCTCTTAACTGCACATACATGCGCGCGCACATACACACACACACACACACATACACCAAGTCATGGCAGCAGCAGCAGCAGCAACTGAAATGTGCATGCCAGAAAACTTGCAGCAGATGCAGTCTCTAATCTGGCATTTAGGATGCAACAGCATGGCTCTACTGGCAAAGGAGCTAGCTAGAAGATAAAACTGCCACCCACAGACCACAACAGATTTAGCTGACTGTACACAATAAGCGCAAATGCAGAGGGTTTTTTAGATTACTATTTCATAAGCTGAATTTTTGCATATGATAATGTTTCGGTTCAGATTGATATCTAGGAAGCTGATCAATTTAAGACCAGACTGTTTAAAACTGAAAACAGGCAAGCAGAAAGAAAGGAGCGAGACATAGTTTATGCTAAAGAAATAGCAAGCTTTAAAAAAACAGCTGCATGTCTTAACCTATAATTCTAAGTATTTATTTCCATATTAGTAACTCCTGCCTTTAGGCTATTTTATTTTTTATATTTATCATCCTATAAGATTTTATTTATAATTTTTTTATATTTATTTATAGTACGTAAAACAAATTTATAGTACATAAAACAAAGCAAGTATTCAAAAAAAGTTCTTGTAGAACTAGTAGTATCAGTATTTTAAAGAAATTTGCAGTTTGGAAATCTAAATGAATATAGAATATTCTGTTCATATAGAAATGCTCTTTTCTTGCTGAGATTTACTATTGTCAGCCTGATGTGTTCAGCATAATTATTCTAAGTGTTTGTATTTTGTTCTAGTTGGTTACTATGGCACCCACACATTATGCTAAGTCATGACTTGTTCAACTGTGTAAACTGAATAAACAATGGCAGGATTCACACAGTAATTAAGCCAAAATGAGAACATTTTATGATTTAGCGTGGTGTGACTCCAGCCAGTGACTGCAGGAGATTGGGGGGCGGGGGGGGGGGGACAGGACGGACCAAGCAGAGGATAAGGTGTGTAGGGCAGAGGGTGATTCTCATAGCTATTTTCAAACTGTGAATTCAAACCATGAATTCCTTATTGTCCCATGGGGCTTAGGTCCCTCACTAATTTTCTCAGTCTGTGCATGCATGATTAAGGTTAGCAGGTGCTGTTTGGAAGATGACAACCTATTCCCAGATGTGAACATATCCCACAGAGGAGTGACTTCCAATCCTTTTTTCCTTCCTGGTCTTCTCTCAATTCTTATTATGTGAGGGTGGGTATAAAAGAGCTGGGCTAGAGGTTCCACATTTCTTCCTTTCCCCCAGAGAAGGCCAAATCTAACTATTCTCTTTCCATAGAAGAACTCTTTGTGCAGTTCCTATGGAAGTAGTTACTGTAACAGTGTACTTGTATCTGATTTTGGGATTTATCCTTTCTGAGAATAGTTCTTTTCTTATCCTGGATGTGGATGCGTGTTACACTGTTTAGGCTTTCTTTCTGGAATGGGTTCCTTTCTGTTTGGGTGGCTTTGCTTACAATACTCAGTTGGGCTTAACCATAAACCATGTTTATTCCACCCAGTTTTCTAGTTTTGCTAAAATAGTGAATCATCAACTAATCAGTCAAGCTGGGTCCACATAGCATGCTTGGGTAAAATGTGATTAGTTTTATTAATGGCACTTCTAAATTTCCCCAATATCATGTCTCATTTACAGTAACCATCCCTGGCAAGCAGCTTCTTTATTTGCACAAGGTCGCCAGGGATACACAATAATGGGCATTTTTGAGTTTTTTTTTTTTTTTTTTTAATTTGATTTATATGCCGCCCTTCTCCGGAGACTCAGGGCGGCTTACAGTGCGTTAAGCAATAGCCTTCATACTTTTGTATATTTATACAAAGTCAGCTTATTGCCCCCACAAACTGGGTCCTCATTTAACCTACCTTAGAAAGGATGGAAGGCTGAGTCAACCTTGAGCCTTGGAGAGATTCGAACCAGCAGTAAATTGCAGGCAGCTGTGTTAATAACAGGGTGCTTTAAACCACTGTAGTACCAAGGCTCTTTTCTCATCAAGCTTCTTGCTGGGCATAAATGTTCAGCCTATCAGATAGGAACACTTGTTTGCTGGCTCTATCGAGCCACCTTAACCCTATTAAAATGTTTTACATCTGATTACTCAAGTCAAAATATGAGATATTACCCTATATTTCTTGACAGTGTTTCTAACGTAAATTAAGTTTTAATGGTTTGAGGGTCCAGGCAGCATCATTTTGTATGGTCAGATTTAGGGGTCCTTTGCATGCAGAGCTTCCAGTTCTGCCTAAGTGGCAATTGTCATCAGCCAGTCGGTCATGTCTACCCTTTGGCCACTCAATGGATCAGCATTCTCCATGCCCATCTCACACCGCCTCTTTTAGATCCTCCATGTTCATCCTGGTGTCATCCTTTATAGTGGCCAGCCACCTTCCCCCTTTTTCCGCTGATCACTCCGGGCATGATTGACTTTTTGAGTGAGTCAGCTCTCATGACATGACCAAAGTATGACAGCCTCTCTTTGGTGATCTCGGCTTTAAGTAATATTTTGGTGAGGTTTGGTAAAATCTGGCCCTATAGAGAAAAAGCTACTTGGCCCGTTTTACGAGATATTTATAACAAAGTCGCATTATATATAGATGTAAATATAACCTACCAAACCCTGGCTGATCGGATCAGATTAATACTTGCTAGGGGGTGATTAGGGTTGCCCCTTAAATAGGAAAGTGAGTAAGAAAGACAGAATGTTCCATCAGGTTGAGAAGCACACTGCATGAACATGCCATGAAAGCATGTGGAACCTTCGTTTTTCTAGATGGTGAACTTATTGTTAGTTTATCAGGCTACTTTATGTTTTATGAAAATAGAGAAGGTAAGGATGTAGTACTTAGCAGATCAGAACTTTTGAAAAGTCCGAATTTAGTCTTACATATAGAAGTTAGATTCAGCTCATAACAGAAAGCAAGGTAACTTTATTTTTTCCCTAATGAAATACATATGGAAGTCCTTTCAAAACGAATGCAAAAATAAAAGTAATAAAGGAAAAAAGGTTGGAAAATGAAAAGAGAAAGACAAGTCTATACACAAGGGGATAAAGAAATCTAGTTGTAATGTGTAGAAAAGTAATAAGACAAGACAATTTACTAACTCCTATTAAGGCTTCAGAAAAAAGTTGTAAAAAAAATACCAGGACAGTACAGAAATGAAATATACAGTAATTTAGCAAATGAAAGCAAAAGAGGCTTTTGGTAAATTGAGACTATAAGACTCTCTTCATAAGACTATATGAAGAAAAGCGGCAAAATGTGTAACAATTTGATGTGTATCTATTCCAAAGTCCTACTCAATTCAGTAAAACTCTTGTGTAAGATTATCTCAAATCACAATTTGCAAAATAATGTTCTCTGAAAGTGAATCAGAAAAGATAGATACGGAGGTCAAAATTAGTCTCTGTGCAGGTCAACAATATAGTATTTGCTTCTCCTGCCAAACTGAAAGCAGAAGATTAGAATTAATTCAGATTCAGCAAAAGAATTTCAATGGCATGCAAAATAAGTCTAAATTCAAAACTTTTGTGCAGATCGTTTCCAGGATGTATTGGAGGGCAAATAATCTTGTGAAAGTATAAAAATAGCTTATTGTGTCTATAACAATATTATTTAAATGTATGCAATAAATAAATATCAAATGCATCGCCCCTGAATTCTTACATGAATTTACATTTTACATGTTAGCCTTCAGAGAACTAGAAGATTTCAAACTGAAAACACGTGTTTTGTTCTGTGTTTCGCTTAGTCAAGTCCTGAGTAAAAAAATGTCTAGAAATTCAAAGTAGGCTGCTGGAATATTTAATGGTTGAAAACATGATGTATGAAAACTGCCATACACAATGCATGTCTTATATTTATGTAATTCCATGTATTTAAATAATTATATAAAACTATTTATATAATTTGTATTACTCAAATATTATGGTCTTTTAGGACATTATTTGAAGATCTGAAAGAGATGGAAATATAAACTGACAGTATGTAACAAAACAGAACTCGCTCAGAAATGTTCCCTTTTCTCTGCTGAACATCTGGTCACCCATCATTTTTACAGCTTTTTTAAACATCAAACTCATCATCTCCTTTCAACCAGTGTCTCAACTTGAACCACTTGGAAAGACCTAGATTCATGCACACATATTTAAAGGTTTTAAATTGAGACTGGTAATTGTACTCTCAGGGGGAAAAAACAGGATATTTCAATCAATTTTATTTTTGAAATGTGATTTATAAAAGGATAGTACCATACAACCTTTTATTTAATATTTAAGCTCACTGAAACTAAATTTCAGATACTAAGCATTGGAACTGCTCCGTATATGTCATGTTTTGGTATACAAACGGAATTCATGGAAAATCTGTTGTAAGATCAAGCAATGTTTAGAAATAGGCTGTTTTATTCTGTATTGTAATGTGCAATGCAAACATTAAAAAGCAAAGCTTTTTGCAATCTTGATATCATAAAAAACACAGGGGCTTTTAATATTTGCAGAAATGTTCGCTAATTCTATGCATTATACTTTTGTGCATGAAAAAAACGCTGAGGCAGAAAGACCCAGCCTATTGCTTTCCCATTTGCCCCTTATCAGTGCTACATTGCATTCCAGCTAGCTTCTCTTGCTTCCATTTGGAGGAAGACATGGTAACTCAGCAGTAAACTAAATGCTCATTAAGAACAGGCCCACTTTCAGAATGCTGGTGCTATTTTCCCCAACAGATAAAAGTTCCTTCTGATAGAAAAAGTTATTTTCACATTATACAATCTATCAAAAACATTTACCTAAAATTTAAAAAATATAGTTCAGGGTAGTAGGGCTTGTTATATAAAAGAGGAGATATGGTACATGTGAGCACTCAACTTATTCTAATTTTAACTTTGCAAATACATTTTTATTACCACACTGGAATTTATACATCTATCACAAAATGAAAGGAGCATTATAAATTCATTGGTAAAATGATGTGACAAGGCTGAATGTTTAGAATAGCATTACTGTACAGTGGTAGCTGTCTCCCTGACCTGGGTGCTTTCCAAATGCAGAGATAGAAATACCCAAATTTCTCAGCTGTCTGGAGAATTTGGGAACCGCACATCAGAATATTTAGAACAAACACTAAAGAAAGCTGCTCTATACAATGCAGATATTTTTACTAGGGGAGCCTGCATGTATCTGACAAGCAGGTGGAGCCAAAGCACTTTTTAAAAAATAAAACTTGAAGTAGGAAAATAACAAAACTGTCAAGACTTTATTTTCCCCACCCCATAGTTTAGTTCAGAGAAATTTGAATTTGGTATGGAGCAATCAGCTAAGCCAAGATTTCTGGACAAACTCTATTGATGCTGCTGGGAAGAGGTTCCATTCACACCAAGCATCTAAGGGGAACGTAGTAAGTCCTTCTCCTCTCTAAGAGTTGCTCTAGATCAGAAAAATTATATCATCAGACATCATGATCTGGTTATCTTCTTGCATCTGTTCCAACGCTGCTTTGACTTCAGCTGATGAAAAAGGAGTTGGGTTGTCCCGGTTGATGGATTCCAGCAGGCTCTTCAGATTCACAGACTGTGCATGGGCAACTCTGAATACTTCCAGGAGGGCTGCCTTGAATGTTTTAAGCCTATGCGAATATAAGAACAAAGTAAGGATGCTTTGAAGGAAAACGCTGCTACTACAGTGAGTGAATGAGAGCAAAAAGCAATGAAAGGGAATGAATAGGACAAGGGAGAAAAGGTCGAGGGGATCAATCAGTACAATTTCAATTTCAAGTAAGCTTTGGAGTGCACAGAGATACAATTTTACCAGCTGCCTGCAACTCTTTAAAGCAACTGCATCTTTAACTGGGATCACACTGCAGTGTGAAAGATAGCTGCACAGTCACAGGAGAAGACATGCTTCAGAGCCGGGGTGTCAAACTGGTGGCCCGCGGGCCAAATGCGTCACACGCAGGCCACGTCCATCCCAGCTCTATGGATGAAAAAAATGTCGTGGAACATCACGTGACAGCAACGTGACACGGTGAGTTTGACACCTGTGCTTTACAGGGTTGCATATCAGATTCTGTATACCATATATTCCAAATTACCCCTTCTAAAGTTATGCACGGTCCTTAATAGCGCCTATTTGCTGACTTCTGTATAGTCACATGAATACCAAAAACATTTCATTTGAAACACACTGTTTTCATCTATAAAGACAAAATAGGAAGCTGCAGTCTTCCTATTCTACAGTCTAGAATGTTCTATTTGATTGAAAGCTTATTTTGAAGATTTCACATAACATCTCATGATTTGTAGATGCCATAAATTGAGTTTGCTGGAATCAAACAAGTATGCAAGTTGAAAGGGTCTATTAAGAACATAAACTCCTGGTTCCATTCAGGAATATAAACTAAGCCATTCATTTAAGATCATCAGTGGATCCATTAGACTCTCAACTTTACTTCCCACTTTACTCCTCTTTCTAATTGACCAGCAGTAGGTAGATGAATATGAGGGAGGGAGGCCTGGCTCAGAAGCAGTAAATCTCCTCAATGCAAGTTATCATACATTATTTGGGGAGGGAGATGGGAGATAATAACTGAAGTAGGGGGATCTATAGCATTCAGTGCTGCCAGTTTCCATCCCCTCTGGTACCCAGGCTGCCTGATTCCCTGGAAATAGCAAGGATAGGAAGGAGTTAGCTACATGTGGACGCCCTGGCTGTCATATACAGAAACAGGATTGTCCGATGTTGAAATACTTTTGGAATGGTCAGAATACCTCTTTTGAACTTGATCAGAATGATCATTTTGAACTTGAAATTGTGTTTTTCAAGGTCAAAAATAACCTGTTTGGATTAAGTATGTTTTGCACATCACTATTTCAGATCCTCAAATCTCATTTCATTTTACTCTTATCATGTAAGAGTCTTTGCACGCTTCCTACCTGGACTCGGGCAACTTTGATGTCACTTCATCAGTGCTTGATGCTTCAGGAACCTTGGAGGGGTGTGCCTGAACTAAAAAAATGTAAAAACAGGAAAATGAAATTAGTTACTAATTGGCATTAACTGATTTGTACCTTCTCTAAAAGAAGCAGACACTGTGGTCTACTGGGGAAGATATTAAAACAAGATTATTATTTATTGCTAAAGTGGAAATTTGAGCTAAGCATATTTGGGTTCCACTTACTGAACGGTAAGATGTGGTTTGCAACTTACATGAAACACAAGCCTATCCACTGTTATTTATAAACTATAGAGAACTGCACAAATTCTATATTATTCCATTTAATTATATTGTTAAACAAATCAATTTAATGTCATGTTCAGTTTATTTTTACCCAAAAAACACAAAAATAACCCCAAGATACACCTAGTAAAATTGCTGAAGAGATAAAATAACAAGCATTTATTGGGTTTGGCATTTTTAAGATTGCCAGGACCATTTCCTTATAGCTGATTAATCTTTTTAATATGCTCATAGGCTCTGTGCACTTGAGAGCAGTCCCATACCAATTTTCCTTAGAATAAGATCCACTGATCACAGATTAATGTATTTCTTTAGAAATGCAGAAGATTATTTCTTCTTGTCTTGATGAGCAGCACCTTTTCCTCCTCTGCTCAGAAAAACCAATCTTTATAATCAAAAGTTTATCAAACTTTTATCAAGTTTATCAAGTTAAAAAATTAATACCAACTAAAAAAAATATAAAAAGTACAGAGGAAAAAGAGAAAGAAAAAATGTTATAAAGGGGGAAAAGATATATAAAGAAATGACTTCTGCCCCAAGGCAAGTATTATTTCAATAACTAATCACCTTCTCTAATATTTCAGCCAAAGATCTCTTCCTCCTATATCTTACATTTCATAAAACCTGATCATTCAATCAATCTTAATCAGCAAAAATCTATTAAGATTTACAGAAGTAACATATATATATTAACCTTAATCAGATAAAATCAGTTTCATTTCCTTTTCCTTTTAATACAGTAATTTACCATTTTCTCAAAAACTACAACAAAAATCCTATATTTTATCTCTTATCTATAAACAAATCTTTAAAACCTCATCATTCAAGCTTGTCAAAAATACATTAACCACCAGAAAGAGCAACGTAGTAAAAATCTTAATAGTTAATCCCTTCAAATAATGTCCCATATTCATTTATTTTCTCTTTCTCTCCTCTCAAACGGCCTTACAAGTTTTACAATATGTCTTTACTTTCAACACCATAGCTTATCACTGTCCCCAAAAATACAACGAAAAACTCTTCTTCCCATTATCTTATCTTCAAAAAAATCTTTAAAGCCTCATCATGCAGTTCTAGTCAAGAAAAACCTGTTGAGAGCTACTAGAAAGAACATCATAAATATTTTAACCTTGATCAAATAAACTTACTTCATATTCTCTCCTTTTATTTTTAAAAGTCTTGGTTTTTATTCTCTTTTAAATAAAGTTCTAGGAACTTATTTCTTTTCATTTTCTCTTCTTTTCTTAGGAATTCCTTCATTAGTTTAACAAATCTCTTTTGCAAGTTCAAGATAAGAAAGTTGTCCAAGTCACTCTTCTGATTTATTATTTGTGTGTCCCTTTTAGTTACTAAGCCATCAGCTGGTTTCATTTGTAACTAGTGTGTAACAACTTTTTCCATATCATTCTTGTATCTTGTCATTTTTAAATCCATATCCAAAGCAATCTGAGTTCTCAAACTCATCTTTATATTAACAGAAATTTCTAAGTGTGCTGTTGCAAACTATCCTTGAATTCTTCCAAAGTTAATACACTTTTCTTCATTCTGCATTAGTAGTTCTCTTCTCCTTTAATTATAGTATTTAGTTCCTGCTGGTTGCCTCTACTGTCCAGCCTCTTACCATGTTTTTCTCTATTCCACCACATTTGGATAGCCCACTGTGATGAAAGTTGTCGTTCTGAAGCTTCTTAATATCTCAGAAGCAGTTAACAAGCCATTTACAGAAGTAATTAAGAGAGGAAGCGGATAAACCCAATGTCCATTTGAAGGCCCTGAACTACAACTTGGGCAAACCTGATTTTATTTATTTTATTTATTTATTAATTTAATTTGTATACCGCCCTTCTCCCAGAAGGGACTCAGGGCGGTGAACAGCCAAAATTAAAAAACATAAAAATACAAAAGTTAAGATAATTAAAAAGAATTAAATCACTAGCTTCCCAATTTAAAACCCCCAAACCCATAAAATTTAAAATCCCAATTTAAAAACCATTTAGGCTAGGCCGGCTTGATGGAATAAAAACGTCTTCAGGGCTTTACGGAAGGTACGGAGCTCCGGGATCAATCGTATTCCAGGAGGCAGCTCATTCCACAGGGCGGGTGCCCCCACAGAGAAGGCTCTCCCCCTGGGGGCCGCCAGCCGACATTCCCTGACCGACGGCACCCTGAGGAGCCCTCTCTGTGAGAACGTATTGGCCGGTGGGAGGTTATCGGTAGCAGCAGGCGGTCTCGCAAATACCCTGGCCCTAAGCCATGGAGCGCTTTAAAGATGAGAACCAACACCTTAAAGCGCACCCGGAAGACCACCGGGAGCCAATGCAGCTTGCGCAGGAGAGGTGTTATGTGGGAGCGCCACGTCGCTCCCACAATCACCCGCGCGGCCGCATTATGCACCAGCTGGAGCCTCCTGGTGCTCCTCAGGGGGAGCCCCATGTAGAGAGCGTTGCAGTAGTCCAGGCATGACGTGACCAAGGCATGAGTCACTGTGCACAAGGAGTCCCGATCCAGAAAGGGGTGCAACTGGCGTATCAGGCGAACCTGATAAAAAGCCCCCCTGGCCACGGCCGTCATATGCTCTTCTAAAGACAGCCGTGTGTCCAGGAGGACGCCCAAGTTGCGAGCCCCCTCTGTGGGGGTCAGTGACTCGCCCCCAATAGCCAGCGATGGCACCAGCTGGCTATACCGGGACGCCGGCATCCACAGCCACTCGGTCTTGGAAGGGTTGAGCCGAAGCCTGTTCCTCCCCATCCAGACCCGCACGGCCTCCAGACACTGGGACATCACTTCGAGGGCATCATTGGGGTGGTCTGGGGTGGAAATGTACAGCTGAGTGTCATCAGCGTACAGATGGCATCGCACCCCAAAACCACGGATGATCTCACCCAGCGGCTTCACATAAATGTTGAACAGGAGCAGCGAGAGGATCGACCCTTGCGGCACCCCGCAAGCAAGGCGCCTCGAGCTCGACCTCTGCCCCCCTGCCAACACAGACTGCGACCGGTCAGAGAGATAGGAGAACCACCGCAACACGGTGCCTCCCATCCCCAATCCCTCCAGCCGGCGCAGCATGATACTATGGTCGATGGTATCAAAAGCCGCTGAGAGGTCTAACAGGACCAGAACAGAGGAACAACCCCTGTCCCGAGCCCTCCAGAGATCATCCACCAATGCGACCAATGCCGTCTCCATGCTGTACCCAGGCCTGAAGCCGGACTGGCACGGATCTAGATAGATGGTTTCATCCAGGTACTGTGGGAGCTGTCGCGCAACCACACTCTCCACAACCTTCGCAACAAAGCAAAGGTTGGAGACCGGATGGTAGTTTGCCAAAACAGCCGGGTCCAGAGAAGGCTTCTCGAGGAGAGGCCTCACCACTGCCTCTTTCAAGGCGGGAGGCAAGAAACCCTCACTCAGAGAAGCATTTATAATCCTCTGGAGCCAGCCTCGTGTTACCTCCCGGGTGGCTAGTACCAGCCAGGAGGGGCACGGGTCCAATAAACATGTGGTTGCGTTTAACCTCCCCAGAATCCTGTCCACGTCCTCAGGAGTCACAGGGTCGAACTCATCCCAGGTAACATTCTCAAGACCAGCCATTTTCTTGGCTCCCCAAGCATTAAACCTGCCAGTCTTCCCATGGAGGACACCTATATGGAGTACTATTGGCAATTCCAGGTCCCCCCCCATTTATCCAGAGAGGAATTTCAAGGTGCCAATCCATTTGTCGGCTCCTTGTTCTGCTGCAGTCATTGGCTCTGTTAAAAGCGAAACTGTCTTTAGTCCACCATTGCTTCCATGGATATCCCAATCTTTCAGAATCTATAAAACCTCTTGGGAAAGGCAGCAATAAAGGCTGACTCACAAGATATGAAGATGGTATGATATTATATAGCTACCCTAACCCTATGTGTATGTGTAGGATATGTGTAGCCACTATACATGTCCTGGACAACAATAATAATGAGTAATGAAGATTTAGACTGCATCAAGCCATATATATCATTGGATTCTGTGATTGCCATGCTAAAACTATTTCAGTTTGAGGATGTCATGCATTCAAATTCCTTATGGAAAAAATTCAGTTACTGTAGGAAGGATTGGAGATATTAGAAAGTAAGGCTGGCTAAGAACAAGCTGGATATATGAAATAAATACAAATAGTCCTTATTTAGTGATTGGCTTGTTTAGCAACTATTCACAATTATAATAGTGTTGAAAAAGTAACTTTGGGACCAATCCTCACATTAATGGTATTTTCAGGTCTGTAAAGCAAAGGATAGCTAAAGTAAGATTGTAAAGCACAGGTGATTTCACTTAGCAATCCTTCACTTAATGATCAAGTTGCCAGTCACAATTGTGGTTGTTTTAACAAGGACTACCTATACTGGTTAAGAACTACATTAAAAAATCCAAAAGAATGGAAACAGAAAATCTATCAGGCCTCTGAAAGATGTGACCAAACTGATGAAGACCATCAGATATAAACAAAGCCTTTCCAAACTCCAGAGTACTTTAAAAGTACAAACTCCACTGTACTTTAAAATTCATAGCAAAACAGACTTAGTTTGCCTGAATCTATTCATTTATCAGTCTGAAAGAAATGACTTACTTTCTGGCATTTCTGCTTCTGTATCACTGAAGTCATAAGGATCATGTGTTTCTCCTTCTGTGGGTGATTGCTCACTGGAATCTGTCTTCCTTCTGTAAAGGACATCAAGTTAATAGTAAGCCTTTTAATTAATGATCTTCAAAATATATTCATTTAGAAGATTTATACAGCCATTTAACGTGGATGATTGCAACTCAACACAACATACACCAAATTAAAATCTATCCCAAAATATGGTAGTTGAGAACCAAGCAATATCAACACAAGGCAAAATCCAGAAGTCAATGTATCAACAATATGACACCAGGGCTCACTAATCGTACAGTCTTGTCTCCCAGATGTGTTCATCTATTGTATTGCCCTAATATCTAGGAGAAAATCCAATTTTTTTAAAGCTTTCTGTTGGCTAAATATTATTCTTTGGGGCTGATGAAAATGCATTCCATTTCTTCTAAAGAGGCCATTCTGAACAACAATTATGGATAATGCCACCCATTAATAAAGAGGAAATGAAGTCTCTACATCTGTTTTGTAACAGGAAAAAGTTACTAATCTTAGGATTCTCAAGTACCACTTGGTTCAACAGTATTTGGTGTTAGTATGCAAACCAAGAACAGGTCTTAAAAGCATAACCAGATTCCAAGGTTAGAAATATGCAGCTTCAGGGAAACAACTCAAGTTAATCCCATCTGAACAGGCTGATGAAAAAGGCCAATTATTCAATTCCATATTAACCCTAACAGTCTGTTTGCCATGTCTGCAGGTTCAAGGATTTTTTTTTTAATTAAGGATTTATTTTAAAATCTTGTTTTTTAAGTTCATCTATAACACTTTTCTTATCTACCTCTTTTTCTGTCTTTCTTCCCTTTCTTGGGACATTTCACCATCTGTTTCTTCTTCTGGGTCCTCTTCAGTCTGCTTTTTCCGCTTTTTTTCTTTTTCCAGAACCTTTGAAAGTAGAGAAACCAAAGAGTCCATATCTGGGCCAATCAACGGCTGCTCAGAAGCCTAGGGTGATCGGAGTTTCATAGAGGAAGACAAGAGCCAAATGTTTCTTCCTCCAAGGATGGGAATCCCTAATAGTTTTAAGTATTGATTTCAGCCTCAAAAGAAATAAAACCATCCAGTATTTTAGTTTCAACAGACGTAACTGCCATAAAAACATGGCATCTCCCACGACAGGATTAAAGCTACAAAGAAAAACCTCAAAACAATTACTAGAGAAGTATCGCAATCTCTTTAGCAAGTGTCAGAACGTTGCTGATGAAAGTGAATTGTAAGTTTGGATCAAAACCAGATGGCTATTCACACACTGTGTAATCCTGTCACAAGGCTGCCTACAGCACAACCTCCATCTCTTTCATAAGCACTTCAGACACACCAAAGAAGTAATTAGTCATTCATGATGGGTATAACTTCTACAGACTCTTACAAGTCTGGGCTGCCGGCAATGACTGAAAATGAAACCAATGACCTACATTGGCATCCAAATAAGGAGAGGCAGATTCCTGTACATGCTCGAGTGGGACAGTTCATGCCATCTCTTCTTCTCATATCCTTTGGCTTTGGTTAATTTTATCTACTGATCATGATATAAATTGGGGTATTACAAGTAATGACAAGTAATAATATCAGTAACATTGGTTGAATACAGGTAATCCCTGATTTACAAGTTTATTTAGTTCAAAGTTACAAGAAATGTGACTTATGGCCATAGTTCACAGTTATGACTTTTGTAGCATCCCCATGATCACGTGATCAAAATTCATATGCTTGGCAACTGGTTCATATTTATGACCATTGCTGTGTCCTGGGGTCATGTGATTCCCTTTTGCGACCTTTCGACAAGCAAAGTCAATGGAGAAGCCAGATTCTCTTAACACTTATTACTAACTTATCAACTGCAATGATTCGCTTAACAACTGTGGCAAGAAAGTTGTTAAATGGGGCAAAACTCACTTAACCAATATCTCAATAACAGAAATTTTGGGCTCAACTGTAGTCGTAAGTCGCAGACTACCTGTACTGAAGACACTTCTACATTCAAATATGCAAACCAACCACTATTTGGGGTCAGCCCAAATTTAATTTTTTTCTTACAACTCTTGTCTACTTACTTTTTTGAAATAAGCAAATTGTACCAGCTCTACAGCAGCTTTGGCATCCTGCTTCTCAATTATTTTACTCATCCTGGCTTTAGCGTGTGCAGTTGAGAGCCGGATCAATGTCTCTAGAGTTCGGGCTGTAATAGGGGAAGTCTAAAAAGAGCAAGTAAAAGTCTTAATGCTTTTGAGGATGAAAGGATGATGATTGAGAAGATGATCAACATTCAAACTGTTGTGCGCATGTACAGATGTGACCATGTTTGGTGCAGTACAACAGTTCTTTAAGACTGGATCCTATTCATGGACTACAGACTTACCATTCATACAGGTATTAGATTAGATTGGAATTCTATGAGATTACTGTGTATAAAAATGGGGAGCACGCCCCCCAAATCCTGGCCTAGCACTCTACAACAGGGGTGTCAAACTCGATTTTGAGGGCCCCATCAGAGTTGTGTTTGACCTCAGGGGGACAGGGTGGGCGTGGCCAGCTTGATGTCACTCATGTTGGGGGCACCTGTAGTGGCCCGAGCACTCTGCCAGCAAAAATGGGCTCCTGAGATCCGTTTTTGGCTGCCACGGCCTCCTGCAACCCTCTGCCAGTGAAAACGGAGCTCGCAGCCCTCTGGCAGAAGGTTGCAGCAGGCTGTGGCAGCCAAAAACGGAGTTCGGAAGCCCGTTCTCACTGGCAGAAGCACCGCAGGCCGGTCCTTCGCTGTTTCCAGGGTGGCCCCCCGGGCCAGAACTAAGTACCCTGCGGGCCAGTTTCGGCCCCCAGGCCTTGAGTTTGACACCCCTGCTCTACAGCATGCTAGATGGCCTCTTTTATGAGCCTTTCCAATGTACAGAGATCATGAAATCTGCAGCATTTCTGCTTCCCTTATTCCACACAGAAGGTGATTTTCTGTCGAAATGATAAAGGAAGATTTCTAGACTGAATTATGATTCTTAAAGCAGTGCACATTGCAAAGGAAAAAAAAATAGAGCTTGATTCGTGACCTACCCTGGCATTGTCAGAGCTGATCTGCTCCTGACTGCGAAGGGAAGAATATTCCTGGGCTATGAGAGCTGCTGCTTCCTCAGTCAAAACTGGCTTCAACATCTTGGCAAAATGAATGTACTTCCTCATGAACTCCATACTTACGATCTTCTCTCTGAGTTTGATCAAACAAAATCCATCAACTTCCATTTATTAGAGGATAACAGGAGTCTAATTGCCACCTCTGGGGATTCTTGGCTAGGAATCACTGATTTGTAGCTAAACTGAAACAACATACTGTTGGCAGATACTGAGAAGCAGAGATAAAGACAGATTCAAAACCAACAGGTTGACTTATCCATTAAGAGAATGTGGCTGCTGGAATTATGCTCCTTGATACTAGTCTTAATATCCTAACAGTGGAAATATAGGATGCAACTATAAAGCGATTCCTGAACTCACACTCTGTCAGACCTGCCTCAGCTTGGGCCTCTAAGTAAGAACCAGAGTGGATAAAAATTGATGATTTAAAATTTTTTTTTAATTTAAATCAGATTTTTTTTTTAATCAAATTTATTTTAATAAAATGCTTTGGAGTAAAAATCTATCTAAAGACAGTTTAGACTCTGCAATACTGAGACTGTCGGTGAGTCAACAGCAGGTCAGAGGAGGAGTTGCTGCGGGACAGAGATGACAGTTGCTCTTTAAAAATTATGTTTTAAATCAAGTTGATTTAAATCAAGCCTTTTTACTAGTGATTTAAATCATGATTTAAATTGTGATTTAAATCAAATCCACCCTGGTAAGAACTATCCTTTACACCATCGGATTGAGAAAGGTATAATTTACTAGAAGCCAAATAAAATACAGTAGTGAGAAGCCAGAAGTGAAAGTAATGCGCCAAAATCCCAAGTGTAACTTTTTCCTCCCAAAAGGTGCCTCCCACAGTTGGTCCCCTCATGTCCAATTAAATTTAAATCAAAGAGATGTTTTTAGAACAGCCTCCTGAGGGATGCAGCTGCGCTCCATTCCCGAACAGTTGACCATGGGACTGCGTTTGGAAAGGAATGGTGAACTTTCATTCCCGTGAAATATACTCCCCTCCCACCTGGTCCCCAGAGTTCATGGCAGACTGGCACCAAAAGAAGTTCTTGAAGTGTAGTAGTGGTATCTGACAGAATCTCTCTTCTTCCTGTGCATGCACTCTTTGATAAGACACTGAGTGAAGGAAATATTACTTCCGCCTCCGAGGTCCATGCAGTAGGTCATCGTGCCTTTCGTACACTTGTAGCTCCTGATCTTCCTCCTCGGTAAAGGAAGGGTCCTCAGTTGCTAGTAATTCAACTGCACTGCCTAAAGGCATGGCTAGAAAAGTAAGGGAAAATGTTTCCTCATAACAAATGTTATCTAGAATATATCAATTTAATCAGTAGATTAAACAACACCTTGTCCATTGCAACATATAAAATAATCTGATCTTTGTGACTTTTAAAATAAGCCAGAATAGTTTTATCAAAGATCATAGAGAATATGTTTGACCCAGTTGACAGATTTCAAGGAAGTCAAGGAACTCACCATCTCCATCCTGTTCACCAGCTGCTCTATAACGATGCATTCGCAAGACATGGTCTGAGATTTCCCGATCTTGTTCTGGATCCATTTGATCCAAAACAATGAAGAGCAAATCAAATCGGGACAGCAAAGAATCCTGAAGGCCGATATTATCCATGGGAGTTTTGTATTGGTCATACTGCAAAGATGCAGGGAAATGTTAGTGAATTAGCAGCTCTTAACTGTAAACAGGAGAGGCAGTACTGCTAGAATGTTAAGGGGGGGGGGGGGGGGGGGGGGAAAGAGAGAGAGAGAAGAGAGACAGACAGACAGACCAAAATCCAAATCTTGTACTGCTTCAATATTATACTGTTGTTTTGAGCACAGCAGATATAGAGCAAGGTCAGTCAAAACTTGTTCTTTAGCAAAACAGTCACATAATTCAAAATTTTATTTTCTCTGTCTCTCTTCTGCATGCTACACAAGAAGTGATTTTTGTATATGCTGTGCAGTTTATCTTTTTTCAGTTGGGTTTTTAATGTAAGCACAAATAGACTTTGTTTTATTACACAGACTAAGTACATTTATGAAACTATGCGATACATGGAGCTGAGAAACATTCAATAACAATGCAGTATGTAATAAGCAAAAAAAAACCCAAAAAACAATGGAATACAGCATTGAAAAAGGACAGACAATATTCCAGTAGGATTCCAATCTTCATAGATCTGGATTACCAAGTGCAAGGAAATAGTAACATATGGACTAACTCTGGAGAATTCAATGAAGTATTGCTGTGTGCCACAAAAGCAGGCATGGAAACATATAATCAGTTGAAATATCATTCAGGCTAAAAAAAAAATCCTCAGTTTCAGAACTGTGGGCCCACAGTAAGCAACTAAACCAATATGATATCAACTAAAAATATAATGACAGAAAGTTGCCCCCTAGCTTATCTAAACAAAATCTTTTCCACGCTTACCCTTCCATAGACTGGATTTGCAGCAGCTAATACACTGCAACGGGCATTGAGCTGGGCCTGAATGCCTGCTTTGGCAATAGTAACACGGCCTTGCTCCATCACTTCATGGATAGCAGTACGATCAATATCAGACATCTTATCGAATTCATCAATGCACACCACTCCACGGTCAGCCAAGACCATGGCACCAGCTTCCAGACAACGTTCTCCTAAGGATGGGGAAACAAAGAGAGGGAGAGAAAGTATATAAAGGTTAAACAGAATGCTCCCATGCGTTTCTAAGTCAGGGTTGGACTATTAAAATTCTCAAGGTACGTTGCATGTATTTTTAGAGGGGTGAGCCCCGTGTGGCGGGTCATAAATCACATGTCCACCAGTTTCCAGTTTCAGTCTTTCCCAGTTCCACGCATGTAGAGGTCGTAGCACTCAAGTGAGCCGGTGATGGTGAGAAGACACAAGTCCACAATGTCTCTGCGGCTCAAGCCCAAGGTCCTAAGTTCCATGCCTGATAGTTCATAGAACAATGCCCGATTTGAAATGATTATGGGAAGATGTTGCACCAATATGGAAGGGGTAAAAGCGGCCCAGCATTGGATGTCAAATGATGTCAGGCTGTTTGTATTTTGAGACCTTGATGTCCCAAGTCTCGCTCATTTGGTAACCGGTGACGACGGAGACATCCATGATCCATAGCTGATTCACTGTGGTTTTATGAATGAAGTGCCGGATGGGATGATTGGTTTGAGACATGAATGGATGCTTTGTTTGCGCAAAAGTTGATCAAGACATTATAAGATGCGATTATGACATGTACATCCCCACATGTGTCACTTCGCAAACTTGCAGGACATGATTAATTGTTTCAAGGATTTGGCAGGCTCTTCTGAAGAGTAAACTGCACCTCAATTGGATCCCCCTAATATATGAACAGGGGAATACTCGAGTGGGGCGTAATAGCCATTCATAGCTGGCCACATTGATATTCAGGGCATTCAGCTCTCGACCATCGATTGAATTCGAAAGCGCAATCTTCTACTTTTCTTGCACTACTGTAGCATTAACTCTGCATGGCTGATTCATCAAGCGCCTCTATGGGCCGAAAACATCTTGGCGCTGCAGAGTTTGAAACAGCGTGGTGGGATGGGATACAATCTTTTCAAGCCGGGTCCCCTGAAGCAGCGGAATTAAAATGGATAAGCAAGATACCCTCAGGCCTCCATCTTTGATGGGCAGCTGCAGCCATCGTCTTACCGCCACCCAGATCAAACAGCCCAGTTTTTTCAGCGTATTCCTATGCACATGAACCAGTATGAGCTCGTGCATAAATTTAGAGACTAAGTATGTTTTCAATAGCTTAAGCTGCAGCTGTAGCTTAAGTGGTGCCTGCGAAAGCTCTTGGGGAGTAGATAATTCAACCTGCCAGTATGCTTGGGGATTACTCTGCCTTTTCAGTTAAACTGGAGGCCAAGATAGCGAATTGAATTATCCGGCCCAAGAGGGTTGATGGTACTTCCCTCACAGTTGTAGGTAGTTGGTAAAAGGGCCATCCACTTATGTTTGCCATCTTTAACGATAGTAAGGCCAATAGACTTCTTGGCATTGAGTGCCATACCAGCTTTACGGAGGCTCCAGACAAAATAAGGTTTTCTTAGAGCCTGGTGGACTTCTCTGCTAATAAGACTAGATCGTCGGGAGAGGCTATGCTGTTGGCCATCAAAGCATACCCAACGTGAGTAGTAAAACTTTAACAATATCTTCAACGACCATAGTAAAGAGGAGTGGAGATCGAGGGTCATCTTGCTGGACTCCCCTGCCGCAGTGGTGGAAGTTCCTGCAAGTTGCACGGTGGACCACTCATACATAAGCACGTTTCTACTACTGCTCCATTCTCTGAAAGAAATAGTAACATTTTCCCATCTCCTACAAAAAAGCCAAGGTAATTCTAAAGTTAACAAACCTCTCCCACCCCGTACAATCATTTCTCAAAACAGTACCCATAATCTTTCCAAAGTAAAATGATTTAATTTAAAAAAAAAATATTTTTAAAAAAGAAAATATCTTGTTGCTTTTAAATCTTAATGTGAGATTAACCAATTCTAGCAAAGTTTCAGGTATTATAGGAAGGTCCTGGACTATCACATAATTAGAGCTAGGTGGCTAAAAAACACGACAGTCCCTGATCATGATGCTGCAACAAAATGAAGGTGGGTTGTTATTGCCGCCCACTGGGGTGAGTTTTATTTTCCAATCTGACCTAAAGTCCTGGAGTTCCTGGTACTTTCCTGTTCAATTCCTAACCAGGACTAACCCTACTTATTTTACAGTCCAAAGCATAACAGGAGTTTGAGCTATTTCATCTATAATATACATTAGATGCAATTATGAAGGATTTGATATCTTCACTCTTTTATGCTAAATAATATTCTACTCACCATACCAGCAGCAGTCCAAATGACAAATAATAAGAGGGAATTGTCTTGCCTGCCCAGTTCAAATTTAGCCCAATTCACTCTGGCTAGAGATTTAATTTGTTAGCATAATACTGCATCACGAGGCCACTGTTTTACTTATACCTCAAGCTCTTTGTTCGCTGCTATTCAAATTTTTAAAATAGACAACTCATCAATAGTAGGCATAAATTGAATCAATCAATCCTCTTGGCTGCAGTGAGATTGTCAGCTGCTTTTTCCCTTGACTGTACCACCTGTTCCCTTTGCACATCATTTGCTTCTAATTTCTCACCAGTTTCCTGATCTGTTGTGACAGCAGCAGTCAAGCCTACTCCAGAAGAACCCCTGCCAGTAGTGGGAATGGCCCGGGGAGCTGTACATAAAACATAACGTAACAACTGAGACTTCGCAACAGAAGGGTCACCTGAAAATACAAGAGACACAGGCTGTTTAGAACATAGAATCATAGACCTAGAAGAGACCTCTGAGATCTTCTAGCCCAGCCCTCTGCTAAAGACAGGAGTCTTATACCATGCCAGTCAAATGGTTGTCTAGTCTATCTATCTATCTATCTATCTATCTATCTATCTATCTATCTATCTATCTATTATTGCAATTTATATGCTGCCTTTCTCCCAAGGGACTCAAGGCGGCTTACAAAATGACAATTTCCAATACAAATCACAATAAAATTAAATTAAAATCAACAGCCCAATTAAAACAGTTTAAAATTATTGTTGGAAACCTCTAGTGATGGATCAACCACAACCACAGGAAGCAATCTATTCCATTGCTTAATTGTTCATTGTCAGAAAATTTCTCATTATTTCTAGGTTGCATCTCTCTTTGACAAGCTTCCATCCATTACTTCTTGTCCTACCCTATGGTGACCTAGAGAATAAGTCAATCCCCTCTTCTTTGTGACAGCCCCTTAAGTCCTGGAAGACAGTTATGCCCCCCCAATCCTCTTCTTTGATAGATTAGACATATCTAGGTCCCTCAAATTCTACATAATTGCCAGCTATACTCTCCTATTATAGGATATGATCAGTGTTTCTGGAACATTCCAAATATGAGGCCTCCATTACATACCAATCAGTAGGATATTAATGTCCCCTCGGAGCCGGCTTCCATTCTCCAACACTTTTTCGACTCCTCCCAGGAGCATACACAGAATTGCCTTCTTGATGTACTCATGCCCATGAATGCTGGGAGCCAAAGATTTTGAAAGCTGTTCAAAAACATCCTTGATGCAGGAAACAAATGAGATAATGTTGAAGCAGAATATCCACATAGGAGTAAAGTCAAAAAACAGTATGAAGAAAAGGGGGGGGGGTTACCCTATTATTTCATAAGCATTGCTTCATCAAAAATTAAAATATTTCATGCTACCTCAAAAATATGAACTTGGGGTAGAAAGACCAAATTCATTTCTTAACAGTTTGCTATTTCACTGAAAATTATATGTATTATATTCCTCTCACTGTTTAGCCATCACACACAGGTTATCTTGCTACAATATGTAAACTACTTGAGGGGCATCATTTTTTTAAAAGGCCAATGGAAAGAAAGAACCCTAACATTAAAAGAACACAAGGTAAAATATGTATACGCTCCAAAGAGAAACAGGTGTATATGCATATGGTATGTATAGTAATGTAACTAAATTTAAGCAAGAATGGGCCCCATAAATACTGTATGACACATAACAAGGCAAATGCAAACATTGGTGTATCGTTTCTAAAATTTATAAATGCCGAAAAACAGTTGAAGTTCAAAGAAGGGGGAAGACAGAAATCAAATATTTATCTATATTATTTTTAGTTGTTTAATCCTTTTCTATTTATTAATTACCAATAATACAATGGAAACTTATACTTTTTATATTGTAACAGTAATTCAATGTGTTTTGAGGTCCTGGAAATCAGACAGCTGTCAACCCTGAAGGTGACCTGACTGGAGCCATCTTGGAGCTTTGGTGTTGCCACATTGGAGCCGAGGTTTGTAGCCAAAATAAAATACTTTCTCTTGGGAACCAAGGACATTCTTACACCTGGACTGTGGAAGGAGGAGTGAGGTTACCAGGCAACCAGACAGTGTCTTGATTAGACATGTGACGGATTGTTTGGGGTTGAGGGAAAACTTTCTCTTTTAATTAGGTGAAAACCGTGGGAACCTTCAGAGTCGGTTTTCACCAGATTTGTGCTAATATATCTCCAATAAAGCTATTCTTTGAGGAATTTATCTGCCTCAGAATTTTGCTTGTTATGGGTCTATTACTTGGAATCCTGACATTAGTATATAAATTTAATAAATTATTTGTCTAGCATGGTCAACTGTAGTGAGCATGAATTTAATAACCTCAGGTTTTTTGTCCACTTATATATTCTGAAACTTTTTTAAAAAAAAAAAAAACTAAAATACAAACATACATACTTTTCAAGTACTTTTAAATTAATCATATTTGTACTTTAAGACATATCAACACTGAGTACGACAGACCCTAAATTTCTATGAACATGTGTAACGAGTCAAATGCCAGCATCCAGTTTACCTTTGAGTGCTGTTTGCTAAATTTTTTAATCTTGCTAACATCTCTAGATGAATATTCAGGCTGGACCTCCTTGCTCATTTGCTTTACTTGGCAAGCAATCAGAATGGTCCTGGAAAGAAAGAAACCAAGACAATCACTCTTTTTCCTTTTATGTTTAAACATTTCCCTGCAGCTTCATAGGAGCACTAATACCTGTAATATGAATGTTATTAGCTAAACAATACCAGATTAATTTAAGACTTCTACTGCATTGAATTTCAAGAGTAACCATTGTGGGAGGAATCTCTGGCAGATTCTGATGTTGAGCAGACAGTCCAACATGAAGACCCTATAGCTGTGTATAACTAAGGCAAATATTTAAAAAATAACAATCTTCCAAACACAATTTTTTTATTTTTAAACTCAGTTTAGAATGAAAGAAAATTCTTTAGCATTATTTTATGTAGATGCCATCTTCACTGACAGACCAAATTATTTTCCTGAATACAAGGTTTGAAAGTCGCTGGAAAAGCAGATTTTAAAAAGTCAAATTTTTAGAAGGACCACAAAACAAAAGCAATGAGGACCCAGATTGTGGGGGCAATAAGCTGACTTTGTATAAATATACAAAAGTATGAAGGCTATTGCTTAATGCATTGTAAGCCGCCCTGAGTCTCCGGAGAAGGGCGGCATATAAATTAAAGCAAAAAAAAAAAAAAAAAAAGACATTGTTCTGGAAAATGGTTTTGTTATAGGAGAGCTTGATGCAACATGGGTTTCAAGGCTTGGTACAACAATCAAAAGCCAATAGGGCAGCTTATGCTACTAACCGAAATGTCCCTGAAGTGTAGCCACCCTTCTTGCTTGGCAGACAACGGAAAGTCCCAATGATCTGTACTCGGTCTCCTGGCTTTACTTTGTCTACCAAGTCATCATCTAAAATGATGTCTACAGAGCGAGGAAGTTGTCCAGCTGGTGCTTTCTCTGGCATCTCCTGGATTGTGATGGTTTGATGATCTTTGTAAGTTGATAGGCCAAATTCTGTCTCGAGAGGATTGTTTTCTTCATCCTACAAAAAAGCACTTTGTTTTTTTTAATTAGTTTTTAAAGTTTTTTTTGTTTACTTGCTGAAAAAAAAAGGGATTTGAATTTATATTCCCCATATAAATATGCTACCCAGATTACTTGAATTCCTGAATACATGCTGTCCCAGCAGCATTATTTATATTCTAAAGTGGTACATAGCATTAAATACTGAGCACCAAATTTGATGTTGAAGAATATTTAACTATATCATGTCTATATCCTTCTAATATCTTTTAGAATTCTTTCATAATAGTCACAACTTTTCTAGGAGCTTTGAAAGCTTTCTGAATCCACACAGCTCACCTTGGTGGGATAAACAGCAGAGGATGGAAAAGCTTCCAGGGAAGTCAAATCTGTGTATCGCCGCTCAATGGTTTTCTTGGTAGCAGGGCAGTAATGCACACTTCGAACAACCTTTGGGCGCACCAAAGAGCCTACATGGGGATAGAAACAAAAAAGCATCTGGAAATAAAGAAAAGGGCTAGCCAACCTCAGTCTGAACACTCACTTCAGATGTTCCCATGCTGGATTGCAAAACATTGCATGTTTGTTGATGTAACATACCAGGTCTTTTCACATCAATTGCACACTCAATCCCATTAGATTTGTTTTAATATATTCTTAGACTACCATTTTAAAGATAACAGCTGAGTCTTTAATTAAATGCATTGCAATCAGCTCTAAGACTTTGAAAAATGTAAAGATATTTAACACAAGTACTTCCAAATGATTATTTTGAATAATATTATCAACGGCATAAGAGCCGAAGTGACGCAGTGGTTAAGAGCGCAGTACTGCAGGCAGCTGACAGCTAGCTGCAGTTCAGCAGTTCAAATCTCACCAGTTCAAGGTTGACTCAGCCTTTCATCCTTCCAAGGTGGGTAAAATGAGGACCCAGATTGTTGGAGGCAATATGCTGACTCTGTAAACCGCTTAGAGAGGGGTGTAAAAGCACTATGAAGCGGTATAGAAGTCTAAGTGCTATTGCTATTCTAATCCTGAATGTTTAGCTTTACTGGAACAATTCTTACTTAAGTGTCTATTTCACTCTGTTACAAAACCCTGGAGAGAAAGCCTGTATTCATGGAGTACATTGGATAATACTGTATATTGTTAGCGGGAAAGCATATTCATTCCTCCACCCCCACCCCAAAGATTTGTAAAACTGGAAGAATTACTGCTTTTTAAACAGAATCATTCACCAATCATATTCCACCCATTTGGAATCAAAAGCTGCTTTGAACAGCTTTTAGTGCACAGACTGCTTACTCACATTTTGTAACAATACCCTCCACACAGACAATACAGCTGAGAAACTGGGATGTCAACGTCCGAGGTGTCACATGTTTAGATCCAAAGCTGCCTTCTAACCCAATATAAAAATCTTCATACTGCTTTGAATATGTAGCATCCACAGAAGCAACAAAGTCTTTCAAGGCACGCTGGAAAGCCAGCAACTCCTCAAAGGCACTGTTCAGCAAACTGCAACAACGGTGAAAAAGAGTTTTAACAGTCCTATCAGAAAAAGCCTATATCGTAACAGGAAAACAATTCTCATTAAAACCACCTTATCAAGAATTAACAATGTCGTTAATTCCCAATGTTCCTTTCAAAATAAAGATTGTATTGAGTATGCTAACCACCTTTTAAATTTTCCTATACTGCACTTACCTAGAACTTTTACTATCACCCTGAGTCATAGTTAAAGATCAGAAATTAGGCCCTCACTTGCTCAATGACAAGCATCAGAGAAAGTCTAGCCATAAAAACACTAATTTTACAAAGCTAGAAAGGATATTTTGATTATCACTGAGAATTATTATTTTTTTAAAATTAAAAAGGTTTTTTTTTATTTATTAAACATTTAAAACATTGTACACAGTGTAACCATCCTGGTCTTAACATATCCATACATATTCTTTCCATAACAACAAATATAATTGCTATTTAATATACAATGCTGCTTTGTTCTTATATACATATCCCTTATCTTCATTTACTACCTATTTACTATTTGTTTACTATTTACACTTATTAACACTGTCCAGTACTAATTCTACAAACCCTAAATCTTTTTTGTTCCAACTCCTTTTCTCCTTTCCAACCAATAATACACTTTATTTCAGATTTTATAGTATTCTGTCTCATTCTTGCTTTTGAGTTCTAGTGTCAGCCTGTCCATTTCTGCACACGTCAAAATCTTCCTTGTTATTTCTTCTTCCAGGGTGATTTATTCCTTTTTCCAGTATTGTGCATAAATTGTTATTTTCAATAAGACCAGTACTATAGAAAATTTTGTTTATAGCATGTGCCTTATTGTATAAGAAAAGGAATATATAGATTAATGCCCAGATGGATTAACATGTAACAACAATATTACAACTGTTGACAACATTCCAAGAATAGAAATAAAGATATGGATGCTCTTTTAATGCTTTTATTATTCTATGCACATCAGTGAAATTGGGGAATTAGAAAAGCCTGGTTACAGCAACTGCCCAACTTTATTTGCATTCAAAAACCTCCGAGTTGGCCTTGTTAGTACATGGACTGAAGATTTCCAGCAAATTCTCTGGCAGTATTTTACATACTGAGAAACCAAAAAACTCCTAGAAGGTGACTAGGAGTCCCTAGGAGTCAAATTCACCACAAGACCAACTTCACCATTTTATTTTGCCATCACACAAGCAGATTAAATTTCCCAATTTGTTAACATAATCCAAATGATCTAGCTTTGACATTTAAATATTTCACAGATATTGTATTAAGGACTATTCTTCTGCTTCTTATTTATAAAAGCTAAAATCTCCAGGAGATTCTTCAAATTGAAACTTCATTTCTTCAAGTAACTGTCTAAAAACTTGACATTAAAATAAGACCTGAAACATGGTAAAAGCATTCAACAATCTTCATGTGTAAGCAAAATTATCTCTGCAAATAGTCATTCCTTCCAATGATGGAATTTATTTATGCAATAAAACTGCCATTAAATAACAACATTTTGTCTTGGGATGACATAAGGACTTATTTTATCCTTAAAGTAGATTACATAAAGTTCATCAGGAATATTTAACAAGGAATATTTAACAAGACCAGGAATATTTAGCAGGGGCTGGGTCAGCCATTGTCTTAGAATCAGAATAAAAGGCACAACTCAGAAAAACATTCTGTAGCTCAGGGGTGTCAACCTGGTAGTCCACGGGCGAGAGGCATCATGTGCAGGCCACCGTCTCCACAAAGGCAAAAAAGTCTCAATATGTCATGTGGCGTGATGGAGTTTGGCACCCGTGCTGTAGTGATTCAATTACACCGTAATTACCAGAAGAGAGATGGGTTTGTATGTACAGACTATGATTATTGAGAACTTTCCTTGTTTGGGTCACAAAGAAAATAATGGTCCAGAGTGATTCCAAACACAAAACATGATTGCCTCCAAAAACTCCTAAATGAGACAGGGACTGGAAGACATACATAAGCTACCTAAGGTTCATTTTCTGGAGAAATTTGGGGGGCAGGGAGGACAAATATTTTGCTAACATTCATATTCTTACCGACTGGCTCTTTTCTCATTCTTTCTGCGGAGGTCATTGATATTCACAATCAGACGATGCCCATTGTCATTAATCATGTCCCGGACTTTACTCTGGTAAATTCCCTGATCTTCCTGGAAGGAGGGTAGATAAGAAGAACTGTTTAGACAATATTAATTCATTTATTCTGAAAGTGAATAAATTCCACTTCCATTATTCAATGTTCTCTAAATGAAGCTGGATTGAGTTTCCTGACATTTTTCTCAGTGATACAAGTTGAACTGGATGGAGAATAACTATCACAATGCTTAAAGTTTTGTATCAAGTTTATTTAGTGAAATTGTATCATGCTCAAATTTATTAAACTAAGTACTTTCTCTTTCTGCAGTCACTTTAATAAGACTATGTACTATATTGCACCTGTCTACAACTCCTTAAACCACTTTTTCAGCATCATACAGCAGCTGCATACAACAGCCACACAAACCTTTGGAAAGATGCAGCTGTTATATGGAATGGAAACAGGTGCTATACTTGTATTCCTGCATGTTTTTTGCTCTTGTTCTACACAGATTGGTCACCCAATCAAAAAAAGAAAAAGAAAATTAAAAATGTATAGAGCAAACTATATTTGCATTCACTGGAAGAAAGATAATAGAATTCAAGGTATCTACAAAGAAATACATGGAACATACAGAAGTGAACCTGAAAAGCTATTGATAATAAATGTCCCATTCACAAAGCTCAGAGGACACCTTTCTAATAAAAGTGCACAATTTTCCTAATTTCACCCAAAAAATGAAACACTACTACTAAGCAACTCTTCAGATTTTTAAAGGTAGCTTTACAATTCTAAATAAAATGAGGACTCTCTACTGGTCTGGAACAATAAGTGATAAAGAACTTCCAACATCACAACAGTTATTCCTCACCCGGTTCAATTTGTATTTACTGAAGACAATGAGGAGAGACACAATTTCACTTTCACTTACAGAAAAGCACTGAATAAGCCATGTGCAGCTGGAAGTTCTCTAGGCCCTTAACCAGGGAAAATTCCTGGGTTCACTTATTTTCTCTCAGTGAAAAGAAGGAACTCTCCATATAATGCAAAATAAATAAATAGAGGGTATACAGGTAGTCCTCGACTTACAACAGTTCATTTAATGACTGTTCAAAGTTACAATGGCCCTCAAAAAAGTGACTTATAACCATGTTCCCCGCTTATGAATGTGGTAGCATCCCCATGGTCATGTGATCAATATTCAGATGCTTGGCAACTGATTCATATTTATGACTTTTGCAATGTTCCCGGGGTCATGTGAACAGCTTTTGTGTCTTGACAAGCAAAGTCAATGGGGAAGGCAGATTCACTTAACAACCATGTTATTAACTTAACAATTGAAGTGATTCACTTAACAACTGTGGCAGGAAAGACCATAAAATGGAGCAAAACTCACAAATGTTTCACTTAGCAGTCGTAAATCAAGGACTACCTGTATTCTATTACTTCAGTAAGCCCTATCCAGATCTTTTTCTCTTTTAAGAGAAGGAATTCATTTCTTCTTTCTCACTGCCATTATTCTAGAGCAGGGGTGTCAAACTCACGGCCCACAGGCCAGATGCGCCACACATTGCCCATGCCAAGTTTAGCAAAAGGGGAAAAAGTTGCGATACCTCAAGTGACGCCACCTTGACGACATGAGTTTGACACCCGTTTTAGGGAGTTAGGATCCCGCATGAATTTAAATGGCAGTTCAGGTTGTTTTGGTCTTAAGGAATTTATAACATTCCTATTCTTTCTCTTGTGTGTCATATTGTATATGTTGTGTATCTTGTATACATGTTGTGTTCTTGTGTATCATGATGTTTCAGGTGAGAGCAGGCACTTTTCAGATGTTTTGGATTTCAACTTTCATTATTACTTCTATAATTAGCATGGGCAATAGAAAAAGAATCAGGGGCAGTTTTAGCTAAAATTTGACTAGCAAAAACAAGATTTTACAAATTTACAATCAAGTTCGGTCCCTCATGATTTTATTGATAAATTTAAGTGTTAGCCTACAGCACAAGTATTTCATAGAAGTCCTGCATCCAAGAGTTAAGCATTCCAAACTAAGCCTTTATCAGGTTAGCCTCTATTGATTGCTCCCTTCCACGGGACTGGCCTACCATGGAAGACAACTGTATGAAAGAGGATTAAAACAACGTGTTTAAACTATTATTAAGCAGCTAAACACCATGACTTATTTCATCCTTCGCAAATTATTTGGGGCTGTGGAATTACACCCACATATTCTTAATGAAACAGACTGAAACTCATCAGCTTAAGTGCTACTTCTTCCATAGGCTGTAATAATACAACTTCATCAGAGCAACGGGCTTTATCTCCATTAGAAAATAAATCATCTAATCCCATTTTAACTCCTCACGAAGTAGACTCTACCCATTATTTGGGTAGAGAAAAGTGCTTTTTCTGAAATGATCATTCCTCCATTCCTCCCACGACAAGATCTTTCCAATAAGCATTTTTACCGCTTAGCAGCAAGACTGTCGCCTGGATTAAGCACAAGCTCTCCGACTCCTGCTCACCTCATCATCCAAAAAGTCCAAGTAATCTCGCTGAGCTTCTCGCAATTCAGCATCATCTAAAGTCGTTGTCGCGGGCGCTGCCATCTCAGACTCGAGCTCAACTCCTCCCTAGGAATTGCTTTTGCTTCTACGCCTAAACAGGCAACCTCGCTACAGCTCTTCCTATTACTCTATTTGGCGCGAAAACCTGACCCTTTTTTCCCGCCAAACGACATGGCAACTCCGCCGTCTCCCCGCCCCCGCCGTGTCATAGTTATTGCACCCAGCGACCAATAAAATCGCGCACATTTTACTCTTTACTGGCGCGAACGTTCCGAAATAATCGCCAATCAGTGAAGAGGCGGCTATGCGGGTGAGTTCGATGCGTGTATATTTTGGCGAAAGGTATTGTGGGAACTGTAGTGTCTGAAACTCAATTATTCGGGTTTTTGTTTGAATTGTCCATTTTTCCATTTATAAACTGAAGTCTCACTTGGTTTCCTCCACCTAAATTTAAAGAGGAAAAAAACACGGGAGATACAATACTGTCTTTAGAGAGAGACCAAAAAAGTTTATTCTTCAATGGTACAGTCGACCGGAAAAGGCGGAGTGACTTTGCTTTCCATATCTATAATGGGAAGCATAGCTTATTTATGCCTTAATTGTGTGTTTCATGAAATATTATGGTATAATGCTAAAAAAAATACAGTGTTTCAACATTGTAATTCAAACAGGGAAATTTCTACAAAAAAAAAACAACAAGCTGCGTTATTTCAGCTTTTCTCAAGCATTTTAAACACCTTAGGGTGTTCAGTAGTACTGCAAAACTCATTACAAACTTCGTTATCAAGAGGTATCTGCAACTTACATTGCAGAGTTTTTCATTGTGATTAACCCTGTGATTAATCTAAGTATTAGACCTGATCTGCAAAGATTCGGATACCCACTAGATGTTGGGAATGGAATTTAGAAAATCTAAATTGCTTGCTGCCATCTAGGAGTCGTTTGGATTTTTGAACCCCTTTATTCAAGATTTTGCAATTCTTAACCCAAATTTGTTTTTGAATAAAAGGGAACAAGATGGGGAAAAATAACCTTTATTTCTATCTACTGAAGCAGCTAGTTACTTAAGTGAAACCGTCAGCAATATTTTCAGTTCTCTAAAATTAGTCTCAGTTCCTCTCCAGGAGGGGGAGCATTTCTTCATCTCTTTCTGTTTAAAATTTTAATTTGTATGGGAAAAGGCCAATGGACAGCTCTTCAGAGTCAAACCCAACTGGAGGATGGAGGGTATCAGAACCATATTAATTGGAAGGAAAAATTACTTCCTTTTTTCTGTAATACCTTATTCCTGATCTTATCAAACTGCCTCCATATCTTATTCTACAACAGGGATGTCAGACTCGATTTCATTGAGGGCTGCATCAGGGTTGTGTTTGATCTCAGGGGACCAGGGAGATGTGGCTGGGGGTGTGTGGGCATGGCTAGTTCGATGCCACTCATGTTGGGGGGCACCTGTGGTGGTCTGGGCGGGGCTGGGAGGAATCCATTGTCTCCAGCGGAGGAAGGTGAGACTAGGGAGAGCGCCAAGCCCTTGTCCTCCAGAGGAGTGTCGCCCCTCTCAGGCCACGCAGAAGACCCCCGGGTAGCGGTGCAGGATGTCCAGAGCCCTAGGCAGTGGAGGGCAAGTGCCCAGCCCAGCCCTCAAGCTCTCAGGGCACCGGGACCCCACAGCCCAACTCAGCCCCACTTCCCTGAGGGAGTGCCAAGTTGCGCTTACCTCCTCCTCAAGGCTGTTGTTGCTTTTCTCGCTCTCCTTGGCCAGGTTGCTCATGGTGTGCAGGAGGGCAAAGTGTGTGGATTAGAAGGAGGCCCACCCCCTCTCCACGCAAGGAGACCCGGCTTTGTAACCAAAGCATCCTCAGCGATAGGATGGGAGACCACCAGGAGAGGTCAGGAGAAGGAGACAAGAGAATGGTGAAAGGGCAGCAGGGTTGCTGGTGGCCAAGTGCTAAGACAGGACTTCCTTCAGACCCTCCCTTCCTCTCATTATAATCTTCCTTCCTTCCTTCCTTCCTTCCTTCCTTCCTTCCTTCCTTCCTTCCTTCCTTCCCCTCTTTTCTTCTTTTCCTTCCTTGCTCTCTTCCCATCTTTCCTTCTTTTTCTTTGTCTTTCCTCTTTCCCTTTCTCCTTTCCTGTCCCCTCTTGGATGCTCAAATGCAAAAGGGGAAATATTTCTCGATGCCTCCTCGCCTTGTGGTCAAATGCCACTTTTGTTAGTAGTTTGTTTTACTAGCATTCTACCAGCAAAAACGGAGGGGGAGGGGCGCACGTGCGGCCCTCTTGAGCTCCATTTGCTGCCGTGATGGCCTCCTGCAGCCCTCTGCCACTGAAAATGGAGCTCTGATAAACGGGTAGGAGATCACTAGGAAATCACAGAATTATAAGCTAGACTGAGAAAATGAAAAAAGTTCCCAGGAAGCACAAAATGCAAACCAAATTCTGATAGAAGAAAATATTTGTAGCTCAGGGTTGAACTCTGGGGTCCTTGGTACTCTCTGAGCTTGACCTGTGTAAACAACCTGGAAATATTTTTACTGCAATGAGGGGAAGAGGTATAATGACCATTATCTTCATAGCAATAGAATGATTCAGCAATGAAGCCTGGAGCAACAGAAGCACTTTTAAAAACCAGTTATGGGTGTTTGCATTACAATTCAGCTCATGTTTAAGAAACAGGATAACATCCATTATTTTTCACCTGCTAGGTTTACACTGAAAATAGCTGGGTGTGTTGAGAGATTTTATTTGGAAGAATCATAAAAAGGTCTTGTATGCAATTATAGTGCCTTCAAGTCAATCATGACTCTTTAAAACTTCCGGGACTGGTTCCTGCAGTTTTCTTGGCAAGTTTTTTTCCCCAAAGTACAGTAGTTTGTTTCCTAGGCCTGAGACAGATTGACTGGCCTACGGCCATCCATTTTGTTTTGTGCCTAGGACAGAACTAGAACTTACCATCTCCCAGTTTCTAGCCTGGTACCTTAACCATTATACAAAACTGGCTCTTGTAAGCATTTATAATGCTCTATTTATTACTGAGGAGAGGAAGTGGTGCACTAGATTGATGGCCAGATCAGTGGTGAAATCCTGCCAGCTTGCGCAAGCCAGTAGCGCTGCTGGTGCATGGTTTGGTGAACTGGTAGCGGTGGCAGCGCGAGGCTCTGCCCACCCACCCGGATGTCATTACTTCCTGGTTTTTAACCCTCTGCGCATGCGCAAAGCCTTCTGCACATGCGCAGAGGGTCAAAAATCGTACGTGACGATGGTGGACACACTTCTGAACTGGTAGGGAAGGTAAGCAAATTTCACCCCTGGGCCAGATATGTCAGAGGATGCCCGTGTCAGAAGATACTCTATGGTCTTCCTTCGGTATCTATACAGCCTCTTCATACACATCATCTAATTGTCAGTCCAATCAGATTTGTTGATATTTTTTTAGTTGTTGGTCTTTTAATAAGAGGGTCCTCAAAATACTGGCCCTTAATGATACATTCCTCAATGGATATGGTGGTCTTCAATGGTATGTTCCTCAAAAGGTTGTTGAAACTGTTTTCTTGTGTATCTTGCACAAGTTTGCTTTCCTCATTTGGAAAACCAATTTGTTGTAGTGGTTAAGGCCTCCAACTAGTAACTGGAAAATTTGTGAGTTGTAGTCCTGCTTTAAGCATGAAGCCAGATGGGTTCACCTTGGGATAGTCACTTTCTCTCAGACCCAAGAAGAAGGCAAGGTAAATCACTTCCACAAGTCTTGACAAGAAACCAGCAGGGACTTGTCCAGGCAGTCACTGGGAGTCTATTTGACTCAAAGAAACAAAATAGTGATTATTTCATCATTTGGGCATTTCACTTTCTAAACAAAGTACTCTTTTTCTTGTAACATGACACTGTCATGCATGCATCTATTTTTAAAGCTGATAGTATGTTTTCTAATCCATGGTAACTATTCAACTTGACCTTTTTTTACTATATAAAGGGAACTCCTCCCGCCCCGGTGTTCAGAGAGAGATTAGACCCTCTTGAATTTTTGTTCCAACTTCCTATTTTATAGTCCCTTCATGTTATAATAGTTTCTTATTTAACAGTTTGTGATCCTGCTGAATGTCTTTGTCTGTTTTCCAATTTTATATATTGGTTCAGCAACACACTGTATGTCTTTCACTTTAGATTTGGAATGCATCTTAGAATTTGTTGTGCAGAGATTAGGATGGCTTAGTAGCCTAATCTGAATGTTTGGAATTGGTCTAATAATATTAGCTACTCCATAGATAGTGTGATCTGACTTGATTCCTGGATCTGGAGAGGGATTGAAAAATGGATTGCATTTTTCCATAATGTAGCAAACAAAGGCAACTTTCTCAAAGTAGACCTTTAGGAGGCAAGGTGTGTCAAATTTCATAAAAACATCAGTGCAACAAATGTCAGGCTACATACAGGTAAAAAGACTCCCTTGAGTTGAGTTTGACTCTTGGTAATTTCATATTTATATTGATGGAAGGCTCTTGGCAACAATACAGAAGTGGTTTGCCATTGACTTCCTTCAGAATAATCTGAATTCCCATTCTACCCCACAGCCCTGGGATTTCCAAGCACTAATAGGGACTCTCACTGTAGAAAGCCACGGCGATGGTTTTGGAGAAGCTATGCAGAGTCTGTCACAGAAACACGTTGAGTCTGGGAAACAAGGAAAACATTAAGAACTCAGCCTGCTTCTACCCTAATTCACTGTCGTAGAAAAGGAAAGGAAGGCAAAACAGAGTCACGTTTTCATGATTCTATTACTGTAGCCTATAGAAATAAAGTGCAGTTCCAGTTAGACTAATAGAATTGGCTTCCTAACATGGACTACCCTGAAGAATTGGCATCCATACAAGTGCTAAGCCAGCCCTACTTGCTTGTATTTCACAAAGTCAGTGAGACTATGGCTACTTGCTAAATATTCTATTATTCCTTTAATAGTAGATAAAAATGGCAGGGGTAGAAGGTGACAAGTTCTGGGAAAATAATATAGGGAAATAAGGCAGTCAACTAAAATGCAAATAGGATAGCAAAGGAAGAGCAAATTGGAATGGAGAATGGTTTCAGTGATTTTTAAATAATTACTTGAGAAGGATAAATGACGATTGACTTTATCTGGTAAGTACTCACTCGAGTAGAACTGTAGGTTAATAAATGAATATGTTTTAG